AGCAATAAAAAAGAAGGGTCACACAAATGAATTTGCGTAAATTTTCACATGCAATAATTATTTTATGCGAATGAAAACGACGAAATCTTAATATGATTAACAAAAGTTACTTCAGCTGCACTGGGAATACAGTATTAGTACTTTTACTTTACTTTTAAAAGTTTCTTAATGTTGGCAAGAGCTGAACGTACATTTTTATTGTAATGTTAAAATTACACTTACATATATCAAACCTGCTGAGCTTATTTTCATATGATAAATGGCATATTTTGCTGCGTAAGTACAATAATTTGAGAACGAAATTTTGACACTTAAGTAACGACATAACACTAAAGTGAAATTTGTTTAAATTTTATGCGACATTTTAGTCACCTAAACTTCGAACACTTCAATCTAAATTTACTGTCTAATTTTGTTGCCCAATTGTTCATTTTTAGGATACACTAAAATTTCGTCAGATGACAATGTATTTGCAGCCAAATATACTATTATATTTGATTTTATTCGTTTTTGTCATAACGACAGCTAAATATATAAATAAACAAATTAGGGACATGTGAAAACAAATCATAGTTGTTTATCTGTAAAATCATATGAAACAGCTGTAAGTTTCAGAGTAACCTTGCTACTCTGGTAAAATATGTAGAGTGCTATAAATTAATCTCGAGTGTTGCGCATTTGGCTCGAGATTTGGCAATCGAAAATGAAAATTACACTAAAATTGAATCTCGACAAAAAATGTTACCCCAGATTTACCAATCAAAAGACATTCGCTCAGGTGTGAATTATAAAACTGGCTGTAAACATAACAAAAATCGCATTCAAATTAAAAATTTGCACTGAACATATAAAACTGCAATTTTCACGTACAGGTGGCGATCGCAACACTTAATTTTGACATTTGTTTATATCTTTATAAAATCGGCGAAACATCTCAATTCTATTTTTCTGCTGAAAACTAGAAATTAGGTGCGGAATTAATACCATAAATAAAAGGTAATTTAATAATTTTTAAAGGATGGAATATAACAGAAATGGAATTTAATTAATTGTGTGTAATTGGAGCGCAAAATATTTACATGAAGTGTTTATTTTACACATGAAAAATGATTTATAATTTCATCATAATTGATAGGAAACAAAGAAAATAGAAAACTAATGACAAACGAAAAAGGGTGAATATCAAAAATAAAAACAATACGAACAATATGCAGACGCATAAAAGGAACGTAAAATGCAACAAAGGGAAAATGAAAATTTACTTTTCGTTTTGCAAGAAAATTTGTGCAGTAAGTTTCGAGCAAAAGGGAGGGTTTCGCTCTAATGACGAGTTGTTTTCCTCGAGTGCAAGGCAAATAGAAATGTTTTGATTTAAGCTCATTTAAATGCTATTAAATTGTTAAATATATATTTTAAGAAATATAATAGAATAAAAAAGTTAAACGCATTTTCTGGAAAAATAATTTTTGTACCATTTGCAGCTGTGATTCTCTTTAATTTCCAAAATAGCCGGAAGATTGCAAGGAAGATAAAAACAAACGAAAAACGATTAGAAAAGAAAGAGGAACATTAAACGCTCCAGTGCAATTGCGGGATTTTGTAGAATTTTTTAAATTAATTTTAGTTTTGGTTTTGTTTAATTTGTGTCGTTTAAATTGAGTTACAATGGCTGATCCAGAAAAACAAAGTTTATTGCAAAATGAAGATACAACGACCGGGTACGCGTCGGCTAGTGGCGGAGAAAGTGTAATTGGAGCCAACGATTCCAATGAAGGTGAGTGCTGCTTACTATATAAACTAATAATTATTTTAATGTTAAATAAATTTAATTAATGATTGTAATGGTGGTATATTGTTAAAAAAAGAAATAAGAAATAAATTTCAATGTGACGCATTTTTGTCATGCAATTGTGCGTCTGCAGCCAAAGTGCCAACGCAGAAAAAAAAATTCTGTACTGCCACATGCTTTGCTTTGGAAAGAAGTTCATAAACCTTTTCGTTTGAGGTGTCACTTTAAAATCTATAAATGAACTTAAAGATTTATGCATGCGGGTGCATACAGAAACCCACTAAGTGTCATACTTCACCTCATCTGCTCGGCTCGGCTTGGCTCTTTATGCATTTGAAATATGCACAAAGTAAATAATTGATAGATTCAATTACATTCCTCCGCTTGAGTTGCTGCAATTGAAACTGAATGCCGAGATTTCCACACATAGTTGGTCTTAGATATTCCAGTACGTAAATGCCTTTTGATTGCTGCACTGGCTTGACTTGACTCGACTCGACTCGACTTGACTTTGAGTCATAATGACAATTCTTATTCTTAATGAATTCGTATTTTTATTTTTGCTTTGTTAAATATTGGTTTGAGAATTGTGGGTGATATATAAATATTATAAACTAATTAAATAAATAAATTAAATTTTATTTGATCTAATCAAAATCGCGTTGAAAATACATAGTCACTAAAACAATAATTGGCAATATTTCAATTACTGTTAAAATTGATGACGCAGTTTTACTGCTAGTGTCATACTTCTATGAACCCTGAAATCCTGAAGCAGGGCCATGAATGAATTTCAAGTTAAACGCAAAAGCTGAGATAGGATAGGAGAAATTGCGAAAAATGTGAGAGATACGGTAAAGGTAGATAGAGGAGCGAATAAGGTGATAAGAACTACTACAGTTCAAGTTGAAACCCTTCTATGGGCCGTGAAGAAGGGTCATGAATAAATTTCAAGATAAACGCAAAATCTGAAATAGGATAGAAGAAGTTTGGGAAAAATCTAGAAGATACGGTTAAGGCAGATAGAGAAGCAAAGAAGGTGATAGAAGCTATTACAGGTCAAGTTGAAACCCTTGTATGGGCTCTAAAAGCAGGGTCATAAATGAATTGCAAGATAAACGCAAAAGCAAAAATAGGATAGAAAAAATTTGGGAAAAATGTGAGAGATACGATGAAATCAGATAGAGGAGCGAATAAGGTGATAAGAACTACTATAGGTCAAGTTGAAACCCTTCTATGGACCGTGAAGAAGGGTCATGAATGAATTTTAAGATAAGAATGAATTTCAAGCTGAGATAGAATAGGAGAAATTGGGGAAAATGTGGCAGATAAAATAGATATAGGAGTAAATAGGGTGTTTTGAAACACACTTTTAAGTAAAAGTAAACCCTGAAAGTAAAATCAGGAGTGAATTGTAAGATAAATGCAAGAGATAAGATAGGATAGGAGTAGTTAGGGAAAAATGTAGGATATGAGGAAAACACATAAAGAAGTGAATAGGGTGATTGAAACTACTGCACCTCAAAATGAAATCCTTCTATGAACTTCCAAAAAAAGCAGGATCATAAATAAATTAAAGGACACAAGAGCTGAGATAGGATTAAAGTTGGCAAAAATTATGGGAGCTAAGGATGATATAGATAACAAATAGAGTGAATGATACTATTCACGGTAAAAGTAAACCCTGAAAGTAAAATTTGGAATGAATTACAAGACAAACGTAAGAGCTGAGATAGCATAGACGAGGTAGGAAGGTGAATGAGTTGATTTAAACTACTGCAGGTCAAGGTGCAGTCTTCTAATTGACTCTGAAAGAAAGATAAATGAATTAGAAGACAAACAAAGAGCAAAAATAGTATAGGAAAAAATGTAGAAGATAAGTTGACGGCGGATAGAGATGTGATACGGCTGATTGAAATTACTCAGGCTAAGCTGAAGAAATTTTGGCAACTAAATGAAATAGTGTCATAGTTATTATTGTTATAGGGATAGTTTTAACATGAACTGATGTTTGTTGTTGTTATACCCGTGGAGATATATGTACTAGCTATACTGAAACGAATTACAACTATGGTAAATGAGTGAGGACGCGGTTAGGCGAAAGAACTGTAAAAGTTGAGGCGATATTGATGGATGGGATTTTATTTAAACTTGACCTGTTTCGAGGTAAAGCACTTCAATGCTTTAGTCTCTGTAGGTTGCTATTTTTGTAAACAAAAATCCTATGGGTGTGGCACTTGAAACTAAGCGTTACTAAAATCTTTAGCAAATTTTTGATAATAATAAAACTATTTCTTGATTTTTGTAGCTTATAGCTTTTCTACATATTGCATTTTATAACCTTTTCTGTGTCAGTATGGACTTCATAATTCTAAGAGACACACCGAAATAACCTCCAATTATGTCAAAATTCAGCACTTACATGTGTAGACAACTATAAATGGTTGTCAACATATGTTAAATAGCTTTATATGAAATCTAAAATGCTATTTGTTAAGGAAAATGGTTTCTGTCAAAACAATTTTTCCTTTCATGACACACATATTGAAATCCAACATACATTATAGGAGCTCACCCTCCTCCATTTCCTAGTTTGAGTAATACATCAACTCCTGTTACAACGGAGATAACAACAATGTGCTCGATGATAAAGTTTTATTCCGTTAGTATTCCGAGAAGTAAGATATATAAGCAAGTATATATCATCATATCATAATATCTACTAAGTTCCGTTCTCAGATCGATGTGCCTGGAAAATTGGTGTCGCGTTGACAATGTTTGTCACAACCACATTGTAGAGTTCTTTAATATTATTCACGATTTATTCTACACAAGTTGAGTCACAAAAAAATTGCTCTTAACGTTACGCATTTGTGACTATTTTGCATTTGGGCTTTCAATCCTTCTCCATATACACCTGATTAGGTGCACCAGTGACTTTTGTACCTTTTCGAAAGAATGCATATACCGATAAAAGAAAATCGTTATATGGATTAAGAAGAAATCTGGAAGACATCTATCCATGTATCGACTGTTTCCATTCGTACAAATTTCTTGAAACTTTGTCAAAACGTTAGGGCGAGTGTTTACCTTACCGATGCTTGTGGTGAGTCTATCTATTGATGATAACATCGTGTTTATTTTGAAAGTAACTTGTGTAGCGAAGAACTTCTAATACTACTATGTCCTAGGTTAGTGTAGGGTTTACCTTAGCGATGCTTTTATTTGAACCCATCTATGACGATTACATCGTGTTTACTTTGAAAGTAACTTGTGTAGCGAAAAACATATACCATAATACTTATAACACTATATATAATACTATATCGTACTTATAAAACTAGGATAACATTTGTATATTTATGAAGTGTTTTATGTTGACTCATAATATAGCAGTTCCAAAAACATACATAGGTTTATATTTTCATTTTAAACATTTTGAATCTACACTCTTCGGAAAATAAACAATAGTTGCCTCTTATTATACCTAAAGTTCCCTTGAACTTTGTTTATCTCTAACACCATAACACAGTTTATAGAGTAAAAAATCAATAAAAATATTTTCATGTACGGTTTGTTCTCATTTTTTTTTTGTTTTTAGTTTAATGTAAATTCAGAAATTTGTTATATCAGTCAAATCGCAATTCATATTAAACAAAATTATTTATTTCGCATTATCGTCATTTTTAGGTTGAAATGTTTGTTTATATTTCTTATTCCGAAACTACAGTCATGAGTCATCATGCATTCTATCTTTTGCCACAAGAGAAGGTTTTCTGTGCCTTTTGCTTGATTAAATTTTGATAATGAATTAAATGGTATTGGTCTCTGTATTTTTTTGTTTTTTTTTCTTCTTTTGTTGTTTTATCATTCCATATATATATTTTATTGTTGATTATTGTTAAAAGTTTTCTTTAAATATTAAACAAAGAACAAGTTCCTCTGGCTCTGGTTCTTGCAGTTATAAGTGGTTTTGTACATGAAAAGTAACAACTTCTTTGAGTTATATTCACTCATATCACTGAAAACATGCATATTAATACTTCACAGTTTAGTTTCTATATATATATATATATATTGTACATACATATATTCATTTTTAATCAGTTCTTAGTTTCCAGAATAGTGAAAATCTTTATTCTATAAAAAATGTTCATTATATCATACATTATGAAAATCAACGGCAAACAATTTAAATGAAACACATTTCACTTTAATTATTAATGTAAATAATTAAAACTTTTATTGCTGTAGGGAAAAACTTATGACCTATAATTTGCATACACATATTATACAGGGTTATCTATTTTGAGGTTCCAAAAGTAAACGTACGAAAACATTGATACCAGATTAGAGTCTTTAAGGACAGTTAATGATGGTAATTTAAATATGTATGTATGTAAGTAAATTTTAAGTGATAGTTTATTCCAAAATCACGAACGAAATTCTAAAGAAGTTGATTAAAGTTTTAAAAAAATTCAGTATATCTTGCAAAGGTCCTTAAGTAACCAGTGCCTGGTATTTTTTGCATTTGTTATTGCTAGTAACATACATCTCATGTAAGCAAATGTGTTGCAAGCAGTTAGTGCTCAGCTAAAAAACCAACAGCGATTTATAGTTTCTTGAATCACACAATAAAACATAGTTAATATATTTTTCATCGAATATGTAGTTACACGTGCTCTTTCCGAATTACGGCTAGATAAGTTACATCACTGTCACCAACGCAGATAAACTATGTGGTCCTTTTGATACCTATTGTAGAAGTTGTGAAAATTTACAGGAAAAAAAACAATGAAGTAATATTTTCTCTATCACTACCTTCTGTTCAAAAAGTATCCGGATTTTGTTGTTTGTTAACTACTCCTTAAGTAATAGACCTTTTTCAAAAATTTTTTTGTTATGTTGGTAACCCTTTCTTGACATATGGTACAAATTTGAGCGCCATCTGTCAATTGGTTTGTTTACAGCAGCTGTTAATGTGAGACTACCTCAAGTTCTTTTAGCGTTTTTTACTATGGAAAATTCTTGTTGTACGCGATTTTTTGACCAAACACGGCACCACTGTCATCGCTCAAGCAACATATTCGCCATCTCTGGCGCCGTACAACTTTTTTCTGTTCCCGAAACTCAAATTGCCCCTTCGTGGTAAGCGTTTTGAGTCGATTGAATCGGTAAAAGAGAATTCGCCGAAGGAACTAAAAGCCATAGCCATACATACAGCGATGTGTATCGCTTCAGTAGGAGCATATTTTGAAGGAGATAAAATAGATAATGAATAAAATTTAAATTTGTGTGTTTTATTTACAAAATGCGGGTACTTTTTGAGCTGGAGGTACATAGCTTTGGCTTTCACATGTAACAGTTTTTAGGGAAGTAATTCTTTAAGAGGTTATCAGTGTGTTTATAGATAAGGACGAAAGATCTATTATATTACCTAAATTTAATGGAGTGGTCTAAGTTTTTCTTTTTATCTCTTAGGTAATTATGGGCAGTACATATCTGCTGATATACCACTGCAACCAACCAAAGAACCATATCATTTGTCTTTTATCAAGAAGTTTTTAGTTGTCTATATATATCATGCAAAGTTCTAACTACCAACTTAATCTTCTGCAATGGTGGCGCCAGTTCAAGAATTCCATCAATATTTATAATTAAAAATTAAGATTTTTATTTTCTATGATAAAGAAATCTTTTTAAAATAGATATAGAATTTTAC